CAGATGTAGAGAGAGAGAGAGAGAGATGATATACTTTCTACTAACCCGCATTCCTGGACTACTAATCTTCACTTCAAGTCCGTATTCTTACGTTTAATACACTTATTTTTCTTTCTAAATTACTGGCGTTGTTTATTTATTTGTGCAGGATTCCATTCCAAATGGAACTGGACGGTAGAATGCCAGAAAGCTTTTAAGAAAATAAAGAAATTAACGTCTGATCTCGCACTGACGCATTTTGATCCTAAACTGGAAATTATAATTGCTAGTGACGCAAGCTCACACGGAGTGGGAGCTTGTATATTACACAAGATGCAGGATGGCACAAGGAAACCGATAGCTCACGCATCTAGATCGTTGTTACCATCAGAGAAGAATTATTCGCAAATTGAGAAAGAAGCGTTTGACATAATATTTGCCATAACTCGCTTCCATAGATACATATATGAAAGAGAGTTTACTCTTCAAACTGACCATAAACGTCTTCTCACTATATTCGGATCGAAAAAAGAACTACCAATTTACACAGCCAACAGACTTCTGAGATGGGGAACTATAATATTGAATTATAATTTCAAACTAGAGTTCCTACCGTCGAAGAAAATTGGTCATGCGGATGGATTATCTAGATTGGTACCTGCGAAATGCAAACCTCTTGAAGACTCGGTAATAGCGGCTTTGCGAGCCGAAGACGAAATTAATAAAGTTCTAAACAATACAGTAAGGGAATTACCAGTGACTTTGTTAGAAATCAGAAGAGAAACTGAAATGGATGAATTCATACAAAGTACAAAGAGAAAAATAGAAGAAAAAAAAAAAATCTAGCGGGTGTTTTTTTTATTTGTAATCACGTATTACTTTATAATGAAAGAGTGGTCATACTCAAATCTTTACAAAGACGAATTCTGAAGGACTTTCATCTAGGACACCCAGGGAAAAATCGTATGAAAGCGTTAATGAGAGGTTTCGTGTATTGGTCTAATATGGATAACGATATTACTCAAATGGTAGAAAAATGTAGAGGCTGTGCTGCGGCAGCAAAGACACCACCTATTATACAAAAACCATGGTCTAAGGTGAACAGACCTTGGTCTAGAATCCATGCGGACTATGCAGGACCCATAGATGCATATTACTACTTGATAACGGTAGATAGCTTTAGCAAGTGGCCAGAAGTTTTCAGATAAAAAACAACATACGATAGAAAAGGCTATTAATTGTCTACACGAGTTATTCGCAAGGTTCAGCGTTGTAGATTGCCTTGTAAGGGATAATGGTACCCATTCAAACTCGAGCGACTTTCAAGAATTCTGTGCGACTTATCAAGTCAAACATATTAAAATAGCACCATACCATCCACGATCTAACGGGCAAGGCGAAAGGTTTGTGGACACACTTAAAAGAGCCTTGAAAAAAGCAGAGGACGTACCAACAGAAAAAGCCATACAACAGTTCCTAGAAGTCTGCAGAATCACACCGAACGGAAACACACCATCTGGCCTTTCACCAGCTGAAGTGATGTTTGGCCGCAAAATACGGTCTGTTTTTGATAAACCATTACCCAGCAAAAATAAAAACCGGCATACACCGATAATGCCTAAAAGATCTTTCAAACCAGGCGAACGGGTTTATTTCAGAATGTTCAAGAATAATATGACATACTGGGAACCAGGCACGATAATAAACAGACTGGGGAATGTTCTATACACGATCCAAGGTGAAAAATTCACTCACAGGAGATATATAAATCAGATACAGAAAAGACGGATAGAGGAACCAAACTCGTCTACTTCCGAAAATAAAGACGCGATGGGGGCGATTTTTGAAGACTTCGAAATTCAAAATCCACAAGTAGCCACGGTGATCAGAAGAACAAGCCGAAAAAGAAAATTCACGGAACCACTAATAATAGACCATAAGCGAAAAAAAATCTTAACTCACCCAAAAAAAGAAGCTAAGGAGGGGGGTGTTGCGGGGCTCTGGCCTTTTTACATAAGATGGACTTGTCCAAAGTATACTTATACTGACAGAGAGAATACCTGCTGTTGAGATACGTGGAGATAAGTTGAGACAGGTTGAGAGATATGGAGACAGAAACAGGGTGTTCTCAGAGAGTTATACAAAAGTCCTGAGAGAGAGAGAGAGAGAGAGAGAGAGAGAGAGAGAGAGAGAGATGATTACAGCTTTACTTACAGAGACTTGTACATATACTTTCTACTAACCCGCATTCCTGGACTATTAATCTTCACTTCAAGTCTGTATTATTACATATAATACACTTATTTTTCTATCTAAATTACTGGCGTTGTTTATTTATTTATGCAGGATTCCATTCACGGAATCCACAACAATTACGATAATAAAAGCGGTGATTTGTATATGAAAGTGAATCTTCACGGAGAATTGCTATCGGGACATCCGTTTGAAAACGATTAACACTAATACGGATAAATATAATTCAATAGAAAAGGGGTAAAGAGAATAAAAATTCTAAATGCAATCAAGACGGAAATCAAAGGCGTCAGAAATATTCAACCTGATTCGTTAACTATTACTCCACACTGACAAGATCATCACCAATATGGTCTTTTCGATCTTTGTCTGAGTGTTTTGTTGATTGCTTAAAAAAATTAAACAGATACAAATTAATTTCTAGTTCCGCTTATGAAAGTGATGACTACCTTTTGATCACAGAATAAGTAAAAATTAAGTAAGCAATGCGAAATTAAGTACTACCAAAATGTTAAAATCTATAGAAAAGAAATTACAACAATTTCCCTAATACGATTTCTTAGCATACACTCCTAAAACAAAAATATAATTGCATACCACATCTGAGCATAAGGCATAGGAATTTGTGAGCAGAAAACTGGGATAAAGTTGTGGCCTGTTTAGGGGTCAGAAAGAAAGACACGGAAGACGAAGGTAGGATTGAACAAGTATACTGGCATGACAAATATATACAAAGTAAGATTGTTAGTGATAAGCAGATAAAAGTGTACGTCCGAAAGATCAGGTTACACTGCGTCTCCGCTGTCCTACGACTCTACTACGACTCTAGGCTAGGATGTGTCGCAGATAGTATTTATCAGAGGAGGAAAAGTTCATTCTACTGTCGGAGGCTTTACCACAACAGATAATTACACGTTATTCTTAATTTTTGTCTTGGTTTTAAAATCAGGATGGTACCAGCTTTCAATTATGTCTTATATATTATCAAGTGTGCACGATATTGGTTGACTGATTTATAAAATGTCTTGTCACCAGTTTCTCAGTCTGATAATTGTGACATGACCATCGACCTCAGAGTTAACTCTCTAAAACTTTACTCATTGATCTTATTCGGTAAGTTTTGATCACCATGGCTGTGGCTAGATTCCACAAAGTCGAGGCCAGATTTAACCTGCCGATTAATGAGAATCATATTCTATGTACACGCGAATTCGATATTTATCTTCAAGCCACAAGGACTTATATAAACTAATCAGTATTTAAGTGACGGTCATTTTCATCCTTAGCAGACACATTTATCCAGCAGGCTGTATAACGCCGTCGTGAACTGGTTTCAAATGAGCGCGCGGCTTTCTTTTACTTAATAATTACGATAATAAAAGCGGTGATTTATATATGAAAGTGAATCTTCACGGAAAATTCCTATCGGGTCATCCGTTTGTAAACGATTAACACTAAAACGGATAAATATAATTCACGAGAAAAGGGATAAAGAGAAAAAAAATTCGGTAAATTTCTATTTTAACAACCGCGCTAAATATCCCTTAAAATTTTCCCAAACCGTCATAATTCCGTGTAAATGTACATACTGAACTCAAATTAACAATTAAATTATGACGAGACCTACCTTTTTGGAGTTATCGACAAGAAAAAATCGGACTTCTTGTTGGTCATTCGTCCCCCATTACTGCCATAGTGTTTAGTAATACGGTGCGGGGTACTTCCGGTATTCTTTGGACTATTTACTTCTTTTACAGACTTTCCTTGCAGAAAATCACTACGCACTACCGTAAAGAAATGTAATTTTTTTTTTTTGGTAATTGTAGTTTTATTTATAACAAAAACAAATTAAATAATACAATAAAACCTTTTTTCCGTGTAGAATAGCAATGACAAATTAAAATAACAAATTAAATAATAAAAATAAAGCATTTTTTATATTTTAAAACTGAAAAAAAACATTAATGCACAAACTTGGTAAATTATTTAATTTTTTTTTTTTTTTTTAATTTGTCCCTGTTTTTGTTTAAAGTTTCCTGTTATAAATAAGAGTACACTTATCAAAAGGAAAAAAGAAATTACGATAATGCGTAGTGATTTCAAAAAGAGATATAGCTGTAAAAGAAGTAAATAGGCCACAATTTCTGATTACGCCAGCGTAGGTAGCCGCACCGTATTACTAAACACTATGGCACTAATGGGGGACGAATGACAAACAAGAAGTCCGTTTTTATTCTTGTCGATAACTCCAAAACGGTAGGTTTCGTCATAATTTAATTGTTAATTTGTGTTAAGCATGTACATTTACACGGAATTATGACGATTTTGGAAAATTTTAAGGGATATTAAGCGTGGGTGTTAATATAGAAATTTACCAAATTTTTATTCTTTTTATCCCTTTTCTCTTGAATTATATTTATCCATATTAGTGTTAATCATTTCTAATCATTTCACACCAAACAAGGCGATAATGTCACTAAGCCGGGAGTTATTACTGGAAGTGAAAGTGAATAAGTAGACTTTAGTCAGGAGAAAGGATAATAAAATAAAGGGATTTAGGAAGACAGAAAATGGCGATTGACGTTGCAATTGAGTTTTTGAAGATATTAAGTTGGTTGGATCACATAGTATGAGCTAATTCCCAATACAAGTCCTTGCCTTACGACAGTGTTCCATTCCTACGAGGGGCTGTAGCGTACAATCTGGAACTGACCCAAACCACCTTCCTTACTCGAGCATCGTATGACAACATATCCTTCCGCTGTGCAATGTATTCTTCCGCCGGCCAGTGTATTCTTTTGCCGCTTTCCAAGGTTATCCGAAATACTGAATTTATTTTGGCTGATTTTGGACAATAAAATTAATTTTGAAATAAAATACAAATAAAATGGGGAGGGGAATTTTTATTTATTTATTCATACCATATAAATAATAACGAACGGTTCTTTGTTCGATTTTGATGGCAAGTGCAATGAGTATGATCTTCACTGAAGAACCTCCATTTTATGCGTACCCGTCTGAGTCTAAGAAATTTTGAAGAAAATGTAAACAAAATACGACCCTTATGCTCAGATTCATAATTAGTAATGAGGAACTGGATAATTTCACACTCACAATACATATCGAAGTCAAAAGAGACAGAGAGTGGCTTAGAAAGTCACTAACCTTAACAGGATTTGTGACTTGATATCATAACCAGAAGTGGGTAGATAAAAAAAAGATAAACGTTATTAATAGCTACAAGTGTAGGAAGTTGTGGAGATCTGCGACTGCCCACATTCTAAAGACCCAAGACACGTAGAAAATAAATGGGATACGACAAAGGTTGAGTGTCAATAATTTTCGAGTGCTACAAATTTATTATCTTTTATCAGACGTGAATTGCCAGGATATTTAGGAAAGATAGTGGGGTGTGTTTTTCTCCATTGCCTTCTCTAGGGTTTTGAATTCAGATCAGTTCTTCTCCTAGACTGGATGCAGCCCAAGGCTTGCCGTCCCAGTCTAATCTTTAACGCATAACTGGAGGTATAGGAAATTCATCCCTTTACCAATGGCCTTAGTGTGAAGCTGAGATAACAAACTATTAAGAAATTTGCAATTCTCTCCTGGATTTTATTCGCTATCCAATGCAGAAACATGTATAAGAGGGAGTAAACTTGTGTTAAAGTCCAGCGTAAATATACAGGGTTTATTTTAATTTAATTTTTACAATATTCATTCATTATGAGGCAAAATACCTACTCAAGCCTAAGATTTACTTACATTATATAAAAAAGAGATAATCAGGCTGTTAATGTCTGTGGATCGGTCTACAGAGTTCTGTACATTGCTTTCTTTCTTACTATCTATCTATCTATCTATCTATCTATCTATCTATGTCACTGTTCATATCTATCTATCTATCTATCTATCTATCTATCTATGCCACTGTTCATATCTATCTATGCTACTGTTCATATCTATCTATCTATCTATCTATGTCACTGTTCCTATCTATCTATCTTTTTTGTCACTGTTCATATCTATTTATCTATCTCTCTATTTACCTATGTCACTGTTCATATCTATCTATCTATCTATCTATCTATCTATCTGTTCATATCTATCTATCTATCTATCTATCTATCTATCTATCTATCTATCTGTTCATATCTATCTATCTATCTATCTATCTATCTATCTATCTATCTATCTATGCCACTGTTCATATCTATCTATGCTACTGTTCATATCTATCTATCTATCTATGTCACTGTTCCTATCTATCTAACTTTTTT